GTTCAGGTGTAAATTCTTTTAGTAAATTAACTGTATGCATTTTTATATGACTAGAATAACTTTCAATCAGAAAAAATCTTCGCAGCAGATGATCACTGCTCTAGACTATCAGTTGGATTGGAAAAATCAGTCATAACTCAGATTTAACTATCAGATAATGTTGAAATGTAATTTACTTCTTCGAATGGAATTGCAAAATTATCGTCTAATAATAGTTTGAATTACATATATCCAAAGTTGCATTATTTTTTCGTAACTATGGTATTCTTAAGATTAAATCAGGAAAACAATCCAGCTAATCTGATCCGACAACTATAAATTCAGTGGGTATGCTTTTATACTTCTTGCTATCATTAAAGGTATAACATAGATTAACCTTCTCTAATATAGAATAAATCCCATTTACTCTAGGATTAATATCATCTTTTTCATATATCTTTTCCATTTCATCAACACATTTTTCACTAATACAACTTACATTAGTGCTTGTATCGAGTACTACTTGGATAAGGTCAGTTTTTTCAACTAAGCAATTTATAAAAACCATTTTTATTATGGCATATAATATCCAAATATAAAAAATAAACCTATCACTACGATCTGATATTTATCAGATAGTTAATAGCCTTATTTTTGTTATATGCATTTTCTACTGAATTTTTCTTCGAACTAGACTCTTCCAAATTCTTTGATGTTTAATCATATTTACTATTTCATTAATATCAGAATCAGATAAACTGGATTCAGATAAGCTAGTTTCAGCGAACTAGTCTCAGATGTACTTTATTCAGATGAATTAGACTCAGATGAACTACTCTTAGATGATGAACTAGATTCAAATGAACTAGTCTCAGGCAAAGTAGATTTGAGTGGGATATTGGTTAAGGATGTCAAATGCTTTTGGTCACTTTCTATTTTGATTATTTATCTATTAACTTAATATCTTTGATCAGAAAATATGCAAAGTATCTGGTTTATCACTTCAAACTACAAACTGTTTAACCTTTTTTCATTGTACCTTTCTTCATTGCTTATGAGGAATAAACTCTTCTACCTGATACCTTTGAGATTTTTTAATTATCTCAACTGAATCAGAAGACTCAGATGAATAGGAGGAATCTTTACATTTTTTGATCTTTGGTGAAAAAGCTATTTTTTGTATTAAGTCAACCACGGTTTCTCTATCTACACATTCGTTTAGATCTTTTAATTCATCTTTTAAGGATTTCACATCCCTTTCCATTCCTTTTACCCTCCTTTCTAAAGTGTTATGTTAGGTATGATAATCTTTTAATTGTTTTTTTAGTGCCTTATTTTCACCAGAAAGCACACTATACATATATGCATTTTATTTGTCTAGCCCAAATATCCTGGCTAATTTTTTTGTATATCTGATAACTTTCTGCTCGTTAGGTATAGTATCAGATAAATGTTTTTGTTCAGTTACCATTTTCGTGATATATTCTATACAGTCAACCCTTGATATAACGAATTTTATGTCCTGAACTTCAACTTCGTTATAGAGCTATAGTGAACTTTTTAAAGAATTTGATTGGCTAGTTCGTTATAACAAGGGTAAATTTAATATAGTTGTCCAAAAAATACGTTATATTAAAATTCGCTATAGAGAGGTATGACTGTATATTAGATCTTATCTTGAGTGAAAAAATAAATTAATAAATGATATCTAACCTATATATATATAATTAGTTTATATCGAAGAACTTAAATGCCTTTGCCTAATAATAAGATTGCCCTTTCGACGAAAATTGATTGTAGTATAATTTAGTACTAGGAAGGCATGGTTATCAGGACTTTGCTGAAAGACTTGACCAGCAATGGTGATAAATTCTTCACACTATTTGACATGACTGCAAATACCACTCCTAATTTACGCAAATAGCTAGGAAGAAGTAGTTTACTAGTTTAAATACTCAAAAATTATCCTATTAGCCTTAATTTTTTGCATATCCAGTTACACCTCTATTAGATATGTACAAGTCTTTAATTTTAGTGGGACGGATGCAGTGTATGATCATTATATTAGCTAGGACCTGTTTGTCAAATATATTAGACACATCGTACAAATCTAACCTTTCTTAACAGATTCTAATGAAAAGTGATCTGGAAAATCAATTCCTTCATTTTCACGTTGACCATACGCTCTTTTTGAATTTTGTTAGATGAGCAGGTTGTATCAGAGATAAAAGTAATAGAGGTTATTTTTTTGGTAACATTAAGTTTTCGCAACTCTCTTCAGAGTCTACTAAGACAGGATGTAGTGACAACAGTGTTAAAAATGGTTAAAGCTAGGGTTGGAAATTTTGTATGTACTAGATAAATTTAACATTATACTTATACTGTACTTGTACTAATTTTTATATTAATTATTATAATGTACTAACTGTACTAATTGTACTAATCATTGTACTAACACTGTACTTCCTAATCCTGGTTAAAGCCTTGACTATGCCTTTATTTCTTTTTTACCAAAATTATTTTGGACAATACGCTGGGCTATACTTTCAATGATTTTTCTATCTGGAATGATATTAGATACTTGGCATATATTAACTTCTCCTGCTTCATCCCTCCTTCTTTGAGAGTTACTTGACTTCTACTTCGACAAATTCTCTGATCAGGAACTAATATAAATGCCTGCTTTTTGCTAAAATTATACCCTTTTTGAAAGCGCTGTCGACCCTTGTCTCTTTTCACTTTATCTGTCAAAAGCTCAAATAATGTTGGAACGTATTGGCTAAGTTCATCATTGCCATCTCGGACATGATAATATGAATATAGTCTATGAAATAATTATTAAATTATGCATAACTATTAGGTTATACTACACATAAAAAAGTTCAATTCAAAAAAATATTTCCGATAATTTACTACTTAATCCCTCTAGTACCCATTTATGGTCAGTGAAAGATCAGATGAGCAAAAAAAATAATATAACCTAATTGAAAAGAGTATTTCATCAATTTGAAATCTGCAGGTAGATATGATATATGAAAAAAAAAATATAGTCATAGAATAGGGTTTCATAGCTATAAACAAATTTTCCTATATCATAATTATATTTTAATAAAGTGCTCGCGTTAGAGTTAATATATGTTCTGATCCTAAAACATTCATCTTAGTAAATGCATCATATAAAATGCTTGGTCTATACTTCGAAAGGGCTAAATTCAGGTGATGGAGAAATTTCATAAGAGCGTTATTTCTCTAAGCTTTCATGTCTTTACAATCCCAAGATATTTTGATTAGTATAGTCAGTTATTGCTGAGATAATTTATTTACATTAGATTCTATAATAATAATTGTCTATTTTTTTCAAGAGTAAATAAACTCATTCCATCTTTAACGATTGATTTCACACTAATGGAAAACCTTTTATGAATATCTAATCTATTTGCTAAGATAGATAGAGGCAGAATTAAGGCTGAATAGTAGAAATCAGCTAAAATATCTAATTCAAATTCACCAATGCATATGATTCCAATATTTTCTAAATAATCCAAAAATCTATCAGCATATCTGAAACCTTCTTGAATCAGCTTCTTGAATAGCTTTCCATTTGGATCAATCCATCAGCCAGTTAGTATATTGAGTACCATTCTTTGCATTATATCTATATTGTAAATGAGAAAAGATGTTTATGTCTTATTTAACTACTGAATAATTTAAATACACATTTATTATAAAATCAATCCACAATAAAATTGAAAGGTTTCTATATCCTAAAATACTTACATAGATCATGTTACTTGTTCATATATCAAGAAAAATGGTACTATTTGTAAAAGAGTCTGCACTCGTATTACTGGCTGTACAAGACACTGGATATTACATGAAAAAATATGGAAAAATAACTATGCCTTGTTTGTGGATTTCTTACTGCTTCTACTACAGGATGCTGTCCCAAATACTCTGCTAGGTTTCATACACTAAATTATCAGATGAGGCAGAAGTATAGGATTGAGTGCTCAGATTTAGCTATTATACAAAATAAGTAAATAGATGCATAAAATATCACTTTGTAAAAGAAGAAGTTTTTTAATAGTAGTATATACCAGTATGTATCCAGGATAAATAAGTGTGTATCTATTATATAAAATATTAGTACTTGCCTACCCTGACCCAGTGTTAGAATTTTTTGGTTCAAATATACAAGAGTTGATAAGCTAGAGCTTCTTGATCAGTGAGAAGTTAATATTTGAGTTATTTTTTTCTAATATTATCCCTGTATTCAGAGCAGTATTTATATTAACAAATATCAAATAAATTCTGAATATTTTCTGTGATTAGTGTGGTATTCACTTTGTTAGAACTAGAAAGATTATCTAATAATAATTCATCAGAAGTGAGTTTAATATAAACATATCAGGTATCTTTGCTATTTTCCCAATATATTTCTTCCCTGTTTGGTATAAAGAAAGCTTGGAAGTGTCTTTATTATCAAATGGGTTAACTAAATGATAATAGGATTTTCTTATTAGTAGCTTTAAGTTTCAACTATATGTTGCATAAAGTGCAGAATTTAGTAAACCAAGTTTCACTTGAACTTTTTTTAATCTTGATTTTTTAGCTTTGCGAAATACATCTGTGTTATCAAATACTCAAACCATTTTAGGTACTAAACCCTAGAGATATGATATTGATCCAAAGATTTTATGCGTATTTTGATATTATTAGTTTTATATCATTATCTATCATTAATGTCTTTAACAGGCGTATAATTTCTTAACAATTCTAAGCAGATACTATTCTCTCAACTCGGGTCATGGTTGTGAGTCTATCCTTTCTGTAATCTTTACAGATAATAGCCTCAACAGCTATTACATTATCAGTGTCAGCATCTCGTAATTACTTATAAGCTCTAAACTATTTCATATGATTGAAATTCCCATATTTCAAGATGAAATTCTCAGTTAATGATTCAGGCAAAATCTCATAGCAATCCATAATGTGATGCCAGTCCAGAGACTGCATCTCTTCTAAAGTCTTCTTTGGTTTATTCTCCAAAATTTAGCAGTCTCACAATTGACAATAGTAGCATTAGAAACATCTGCTATCTCCTTCACTTTAATGATAGATGAACTCACCTTTACTGTTTGGATTGTTTGGGATAATGATATCATATTATCTTTAGGTTTAGATATAAGTTCTATAATAAAAATTACCATACCTGCCTTTCAGAGAAAATTGATCATTCTCCAACCAAATAAATGATAAAAACTGAATTTTTCTAACATATATGTTACCCATAATCGAACAGTTAATACATCTTTGTTCCTGATGATAGAACATATGGTGTGAGTACTGGAAAAATGGACCAAATTAATTTTTTTTTAAAAAAAAGTTTCTAAGTAAAATAGATGTAGATTAGGTCATCTGATTCAGATCATTTGTTATTTCAAA